TTTTGGCAGAGAGAAGCATTAAGGTTTTAGTCGACGGTGAATGCTTCGACCTACAGTCTATAAATGCTGGTGTTCCCCAAGGATGTGTGCTATCACCTACACTTTTTCTTCTGCATATTAATGACATGCTGCACCTATAACGGTCGTGCTAATATTTCTCGGGAAAGCGTCGTTGAGAGCCGGAATCAACTTGTGTCTGATATTGAATCTTCGTTAGAGGAAGTCTCTAACTGGGGTCGACTTAATTTGGTCCACTTCAACCCTACTAAGACACAGGTTTGCGCATTCACCGCCAAAAAAGCCCCTTTTGTCGTATCAACTCGCTTTAAAAATATTCCCCTAACTGCCTCAGCCAATATTGAGATTCTCGGTGTCGACATATCGAGCGAGGTCCAGTTCCGTGGTCACTTAGAGGATAAAGCTAAATGAGCATCTAAGAAGCTTGGTGTGCTTAATAGATCGAGGCAATATTTCACTCCGGCGCATCGCCTGCAGCTTTACAAGGCGCAGGTTCGGCCCCATATGGAATACTGTTCTCATCTTTGGGCAGGTGCACCCCAATACCAGCTTCTTCCTCTAGACCGCATTCAGCGGAGAGCGACTCGAATCGTCGATTGCCGGGACACTTCAAGTCGGCTCGATCCACTGGCCCTGCGAAGAGATGTTGCTTCACTGTGCATCTTCTATCGCATCTATTACGGGGAATGCTCCGAGGAATTGTTCGGACTTATACCTGCTGCTACTTTTCGCCATCGTTCCACGCGACAAGAAATCCACGCCCATCATGTGGATGGTTGGAAGTCCTCAACTGTGCGTTTTTCTAGAAGTTTTCTGCCTCGCACAGCCAAACTCTGGAACAGTTTGTCACCAGCGGTATTTCCGGACCGATACGACCTTCAAACATTCAAGCGTAGAGCTTATTCGTCCCTCAAAGGCCAGGAGGGCACTTGTAGCTCCTCTGGTGTTGCAGGTGTCCATGGGCGGCGGTGATCACTCACCATCAGGTGATCCGCCCGCTCGACTGCCCCCTATTAAATAAAAAATAAAAAAAAAATTGATCATTATAAATTTTAATCATACGTTTGATTGATTTAAGACGTGCTATAATGCAAAACTGAAGCTTATCAATCTATCTTAATGAAATCCTGAATGATCTATCAAGTTTACTAACTAGATCGGACAGACCAATCGTTCGGATTCAGAGCTTCATTTTGAGGTATTAATTAACGCAGAAAAGCCGCTGCATATACACACTTTACTCTTTGGCCGCTGCTCTACACAAACTCACCATGCACCATATTAATTAAAACTTACAATAACTAGTCAAATTTCAGTAAAATTAAAATAAATATCATCATCATCATCAGCCCTTTTACGTCCGCACTGCAGGGGCTCAGGCCTTCCTTATGAACGGTTAAGGGGGATTGGTGACGACCCTCCACACTGGCCCAATGCGGATTCGAGGGTATTAACTATTGCAAATGCAGCTGGTACCAACGGCTTAACGTGCCTTCCGAAACACGAAGTAGCTCAAGATAATATTTTTTTGTATAAAAAATATTATTAAGATAATATTGAAAGTTGCTTAACAACAACGATCGCGGGCCGCGGCGGGCGCTTATCCTCTACGCCATCGATCTACTAAAATAAATATGACATTTCTCAATATTTTCCAGGTTGGCACCTGTCTACCTTGTCACGATACTGTTCTCTGCTACGTGGTTCAAGTTCTATACTTATGGTCCTTTCTGGCAGGTATTGAAATGTTCTGTAAAAATAAATATTTATTTAGATTGTTATAGATCATCTGATACAACTTATTATCTTATTATTTATATTTAATATCGGTCTATCAGACGAACTCCTCATGATAATCCAGTGAACCTCGTCAGCAGGCCGCAGAGTGGGTTAGACGAGCTGAAAATTAGGCATAATTTAATACACTTCTAATTAGTTTTATAATAAAACACATTTGATTCTTTGACGTATATTATTAACGTCTAAAGAATTATGCTAAAAGAAGTTATGCAATAGGTAACTCAAACTTATTTAAAATAAATAGTAATAATACTTATTTCATTATTTTCTCTTTCGTATACCGTTTGTTACCAGTGAGAGCATAAGATATATGCCAAAATATATTCCAAAACAAAATCATCCCAAACAGAACTTAGATCAAGGAATGATATTATGTTGACACTTACTTGACATTAATGCATACCTTTCCCATAATTTGTTAGGAGTTGGTGAACGACGAGGTACATGACTGCCAAAAATACTGGACCTCCATGTTCTTTTTTGTTCAGAACTATGACTATGGGTCTCAGTGCAACCCACATCACTGGTACGTACATAGAGAAATATTTTATTTACGTTTTCCTGTGTTCTGTGGTTTAGATAATCTGACAGCCCTCGATTAATAGTTATGACAAATAGGCCTTTTTTATCGAACCACCACGTTAATAATAGTGATAGTCACCCTCGGCTTCTTATGCTTATTACTAATAAACTATACAAGTCAACGTCTCTACCAAACCAGCGTATGAGCTCCTAGAACATGAATGTCTTTATTAATTTAAATATGTGATTAGGTCCACGGCATTGGATATACACATGTATACGCTCGGACTGTTACTGATGCTGTTACCAACAGAGAAGATCAGAAACATAGCACTTGCTGTGGCTATAGCTATCGGTTTTGCCCTACCTGGTATCGAAGTATACCTCAGAGACATCGATGGCGTACTGATGCCCGCAGGGAAGTAAGATATTTTTTATATTTAAACTACTCAAAAACTTGAGATTACACATAAATAAGGTTAAATTGCGATTAGAAACTCTTCAAGACAGCATACCCAGGGTTACAAAGTATCATCTACCCATGCGCAATACGTACAGTCCCCAGAAGCACAGCACGCAGCAGGATACCAGCAATAGAGATGATGCTTGTGTTAAAAAAAAGAAATTGTATTTAGTCCGTCAGTGATAAAACAGAAAAATATTAGATACGTATTTTTTTATTCAAATTTAACAAGAAATGGCTTAGATATAAGCCATTAATGTTTATGTACAAAGGAGTCATGACGTCATGCGAATTTTCAACTCAATGCATCACCATCTATCTATCCATCTACAGCATTCTATTAGATTTCGCTCCCATTGTCTAATTAAGTTAGTTTGGCTCCTAAGCTGATCATAATAATGGTTCTGCAGTTGGCGTAATCTTTAAGTGAGTCCTTGTTTTTGTATAAGGAACGATGACCGCTTGACTTTTCCATTTTCCTAGCAAAGTTTGCATAATTATCTCACTGCATTGTCAATTCTCACTGCATTACTCATTTTTTTAATTATCCAGTATTTTACAGATAGTGATCTGATTCAAGCGTAGAACCTCTAGTAACCTCCTTATATTCACATCAATGTGTCAGAGTAGATATTTATCAGAATCAGATAGAACACTATTCGGTTATTTGATTAACGTTTTGGTAATTTCACGTATGTATATTTAAATATATTGGAATAATTTGTTAGATAAATACATGTTTCTTCTTGATTTCCAAACCACTGCTTCTATTGATACAGATCTAATCTTCCAAAAAAATAACACTCTAAATAATATTATGCTTGTTTAGAAATACATATAAATGTATGTATGTATTGCGCAGATTGAGATTTCATAGTAACATCAAAACATTTAAATAAATAATCCATGGAAATTAGGAAAAAATCCCAGTTCTTGATATGGTCTCTAATAATAATAAGTGGCGTCGTTTTTGTTGAATGAATGTTTAAAACATAAACAAAATTTGTTATCATTCAATTTTTTTTGTTATTTGTAGAGTTGTGCAAAGTCAAAGAACATTTGTGAATTACGCCTACTTTAACTACATGCACAAGCGTACACACACGAACATGACTGTGTGGTTGACCGGCATGGCATTTGGATTGTTTCTATACAAATGGATGAAAAAACCCGTCGACGATACTAAATACAAGGTGGGCACATTTGTTACACGCTTTTGTTTGAAATTAAGTGTGCAAGGAAGAATAAAGGGTGCTGTGCCCGACGCTGCGTTCTACACTGATTTCTTACGGAATAGCAAAGCTGTAGTGGAGGAAATCGGCAGTAACAACTACTTAGTCATTCTTTTATGATCCTATTTTTAGAGTTCCGTAGTAAACAAGGAACCTTTATAGTTTCGCCATCTCCGTCTATCCGTGCATCAGTCCGCGGTTTAGCTCAAAAACTATTGGTACTAGAAAGTTCAAATTAGTTATAGTTAATTACGCCGACAAAATTGTAAAGTAAAATTTCTAAAAGATCGATTTTAATGGTCGTCCCCTATTATATTGGGGATGATTATTTTTCGTCTTCCCCATAGTGTAGGGCATCTTTGGATAGGTCTTTCAAAAACGTTGGGGGTGTAGGAAGGCCGTTTTTCGCTTTAGGAAATCGTTTGTGTGTGACTTATAAAGCTTTAAGGAGATATTTTTTGTTAGAGTCCCTTCTACCAACTCAACGGTCGTTGGTAAAAATTCAAAAGTTACGGCAGTAGTACCTCTATGCAACGAAGTTAAAAGAAAATTATCACACTTTAGTTGGCTTTACAAGTTTACAAGTAATAGTCGATCAATTGTATTTAACTCAAAAATTTGGAACAACTCTATAGAAAACATAATAAACATGATTTTTTACTTTTTTAAATGGATAGGTAGTGGTATAGAACCCTTCGTGCGCGAGTCCAACACGCACTTAGCCGGTTTTTGCTTATTTGGTTCGAAACTCTAAAATTTATTTATTTATTCTCTTTTAAAAACCATTTTAAAATCTGTTAATTCGATTTGTCAATGGCTAGGACAATTAATTAAACATTCAACTTAGGCTTCAAGTTGAATAGAAAAATGAGTCATATAACCATTGCACATAAATACTGTAAGCCACTTTATAGACTTTACAGTATTCGCAATAGAGCTAACATAAAAGTAAATAAATTTATCGAACGAGTAAATCATACGATTTTCAATGTATTTACTTTCAGAAATATGCAATTGCATATTGGGCGCTATTTCCTGTGATGCTGACGATATTGGGCTTGAATTCGCTCGTATTCCTAAAGGACGGTGAACAAGTCAGCATGGGTATCAGGCTACTCTACGCATTGTTCGTGAAGCCAGTTTGGGGTCTATTGATGGCTGCTTTTATATTCGGCATGATATGTAAAGTGGAAAGTAAGTACCAATATTACGAAACTAACTGCATCATTTGAATAGATAACAACGAATATAAAAAAGTAATGGAAATCGTGATTTAAAATAAATGCAAATGTCCAGTACTTAAGGCACTTTTTATCTTCGCTTAGATTCCTATATAAAATACGAAAAAATACGCATCAAGAGTAAAGACGCACCCTCTGAATTTCATACATTTTTATCACAGAAAAAATCTTTTGATCGTTTGAATATCAGCAAAACCTTAGAATAACATTGTATTGAACAGTGGTTATTTCGTAAAACCTCGCTTTAAATAAATATTGTATGATTATAGATGTGTATCGACGCATACTGGAGTGGCCCGGCTGGGTGTCACTAGTGAGACTTACTTACTGCTCATACAACGTGCATATGCTTCTCATCCGTTACGGCTTCGGCGCCGACACACAACTATACTTTCTATCTGACTTGCATATGGTAATTTATCAAAACTATTTTTTGACCGCGGCGAGTTAGCATATCAGCCTAGATAACGCTAATTCCTACGCCTGTAGTCGAAGCGGCCATAAACTTATTAGATCTATTTGGATAAGTTTTGAGAATTACTGTGGTGTTCCGTTAAAATACAGCATCGAACACAATGCTGGCGTTAGGGTTCAACCAAATAAAACCATTTGGTTTTGGTGTTTGACCTCTACACCCCATACTGACATAGAAGGGCCTCGGTTATGTGACTTTCCCACGTCTTGATTAGTCTATTACCACTAGCACATAGCATGCCGCCTTAATAGTGGTAAGATTTTAGTGAACAAGTTCATTAGATGATCCCTCGAAAAAGCAGTACCGGGTTTCTTAACTCCTAACCTGCATTCGTTCGTGTGTAATGACGAGAATGAAAGTTGACCTGAGCGATAGTGTCGCTATAAAAGTTAACAACGGAATACCTAATCTGTTAGTATACCTCTATTTATTTTATTCTCGTAAGATACCAACATAATCAATGTACATATATACCTAGTCTAGCCACAAATTCTGTTACTGGCTGTTTACATACATTTAAAAAGATTAATTTGAATTTCGAACATTAGCTTCTACGATAAAAAAACAGTCTTCTTTCCCGCGATTTTTTGTATGTTTTTTGTTTAGAAATTATTTGTTTTGAAAATGGAGTGGGCTATTATAGATAACAAGATTGCAGTAATTGCACTGCCAGCCGACATTTTTGACATTTTTGCACTTTTTTGATTCTTTGTGACAGAACTTATGGGTAGACTAGGTACGAGTAATATCAATGTATCAACATAATAAAACAATAAATATTGTAGCTGTTATATTCAACATTACAGAGAATCCATTTCCAATTTAGTTACAAATTAGTTTGCATTGTGTAGAGAATGCCAGAAAAAATATTTATTAAATCATATGTAAGTATTACTATTACTTAATTAGTCTATTTTACATTTACAGCTTATCACAACTTTCGGATTCATCGTGCTGACTTTCATCCTATCAACAGTAATGTGGTTGTGTGTGGAGCAGCCTAGCAACAATCTGATCAAGAAGTTAGGCAAAAAGTCAATTTTAGATAGTGAAGCTGGGGTTAAGAAAATAGAATAATATTTAAAAACGTTATCTATTAATTTTATTGCTGAATGTAAAAACTAGAAAATCAAGAAAAAGGTGCTCTTACGGTATTCATGTATCTTTGTTATTGATAATATTATAGACGGTTTATCAAGAGATTGTTTTATTTACTATGATAACGATAACAATTATGTTCTCAATAAATTACCAAGTCATATTTATATACCTTCACACGTCTAGACTCTAAAATATACGAGTCACAATTACGTAGATGCCTTCAAAAGAAAGGCAGAACATTTTTATGAGTGATTTATTAAAACTCCTTAACTATAGCCTAAAACTTGATCATAACTAATAGGTATAAAAATATATATCTATCTAAAGTCCTTGACCGTCTTGTTCACAACCAACTTAGCTATTCCTAGTTAAAAACAACCTAATGATCCCTACCAATCCGGTTTCCGACCATTGACAGCACTACTACTGCCCTTATCAACATAACGAATGATATTAGGCTAAAAATGGAAACCGGAACCATCAAGATCCTATGTCTACTAGACTTTTACTAGCAACGCGTTCAACACTGTTGATTTTGACTATTGCCGGCAATAGTCAAAATCAACAGTGTTTGGTCGCCGGCAGCGCGTCCGCGTTGAAGATTCTTTCTCTTGTTAGTGTGACTTAACTGCCGGGGTGCCCCAGGGTGGTGTTTTATCTCCTCTTCTTTTTGCTGTTTATATTAACACAATTTCCTGTCAGTTACTTTCTTCCTACCATCTTTATGCAGACGATTTGCAAATATACAGGAATAATTTAAAACCACTGCGAAGATTTTGTGAAAATAAACTTTAAGTAATTTAAACAAACACGTATTTTTTATTTTGACATGTTCTAATACAAAAAAAAAAAAGTTATCGCTTACCAAAGGTCGAGACTTTAAAAATAAATTTATGGACACCGCGCGCCGTGCGTCAGCTGAGCGCGCGCTCGATGTCGTAGGTATGTAGGTATCTATCTACACGGATCAATGACCGCTCATTTTGTTAGATTCAAACTAGAATTTATGCCATGATCTGAGGTGATTTGTAAGATTAATTCCAATTTTCCCTTCATACTTTTGTGGTTAAGGCCATCAAAATGCAAGAAAAAATATTAAAGTTATGCAAAGGTTACATAGGTACTTCTGCGTTAAGGCGTATTTAAAAAATTTAATCAACTACGTATTTACAATAATGTTGAATCAAAAATAATACCTAACTACAATGTTTACATCGCGGTGATGTAGAAGCCACTCGCATAAGGCTCGACGTGATACTGGATCTAGGTCGTGGAGCTACTGAACCGGCTGAAAGTGGTACGAATGGAGTCCGGCTGTATTAAGCAGCTTTAATTTTAAGTGAATCCCATCAAAACTCTAGTTATCGTAGTGAGCAGCTCAAGGCTTAGAACTAAAATAAAGTTTGAACAGATCACGCAAATAGTTTTTGATGGAATCTCCTTACTATTCAGTGCTCATGTTATAAATTTAGTAATTACAAAAACATTATAAAAACTTAAATTGGGATGTCCAATCTCAAAGAAGTGAGTCGCAAACTTTTTGCATCTGCTGGGTCTTTAAGAACGCTTCGCAATTTCTTGCCTACTGCCACTAAAATTGCGCTCAAAAATCTCTTCTGATGCCCATTTTCGATCACGTCAGCTATCTTGACCATCACCAGCCCTTTTTACGTCCCCACTGCAGGGGCTCAGGCCTTCCTTATGGATGGTTAAGGAGAATGGGCCATAACCCTCCACGCTGGCCCAATGCGGATTGGAGGGTAATAGAAATACAACTGAACAAGCTCGAGTGTCTTAAAAATTTTTGCATAAGATTTTTATTTGGACTATGCAAATATGATCACGTTTCTGAATTTCGTGAGAAACTCAAGTGGCTACCAATTCGATTCCGCTGGAATGCACATATTTTAAATATGTTATTTAGTATACTTTTTAATCCCACTACCTCTTCTTATCTCAAAGATCGTTCCAAATTCGTCAAAGCATCCCACCCCCGCCTCTTGAGATCATACGAAAACCTGTGGCTGGAAATGCCAATGCATTCCATTAATTCTACGATAAATATTTTATCGTCCACGTTGTACGCCTACGGAATGCGCTACCTTTGTCGATTAGAAAAGATAATTCTCTTATTATATTTAGGAAACTTGTCAGAGAGCACTACCTGTCCATGAAAGTATGTATATAGGTATTATATATTTATATATGTATTATATTTTATATGATAAAAGTCTTTATATTATAGTATAAGTAGGTCTATTATACCATTTTTGACATTAGGATTTTGTTCCAAATATCAATTAGACAAAAGAAATTGTTGTGTCATGTAGCTGGCAATGAAAGAGAGAGAGGGGAGACACACAACAAGATGGCGTAGTTAAGGAGTTTTTAGAGTATAAGAAGAAAAGTTGTAAAAGCTATAAATACAAAGTATTAATAATAAAACTAAAAGTAGTTTCACTCATAGTACATGGTGGCAGCAATGGGCACAGAAGAAGAAGAAACCATGGCGCAACAAATCTTTAACATTTGTTCGACTGCACAAGTGACGCCGCCGGGGCCGTTTGACTTTAAACCTGAAAACTGGAATAAATGGAAAAAACGATTTCAAAGATATATTTCCATAACTGAAGTTTCTTCGAAATCAGAAGAAGAAAAAATTGATTTGCTTTTATATTTGATGGGGGATCAAGCGGAGGAGTTAGTAGTGCAGCTGGGCATCGGAAACACGGAGTCTTTAATACAATTACTAGAACAGATTGACCAACATTTCCATCCTAAAAAAAATATACTTTATGCAAGGTATAAGTTTAATTCAAGAAGTCAAGTTCCTGGAGAGTCTGTGGAGGAGTATATCAGGGCTCTTTTCGTTTTATCGGAAGAGTGTGAATTTGGTACTCTGAGGGATGAATTAGTAAGAGACAAAGTGGTTGTTGGAGTAAATAGTCAGAGAGCCAGAGAAAAAATGTTATTAAATGTAAACCTGACTTTGGAACAGGCAGTCACAGTGGCAAGAAATGTAGAAGTATTTGAAAATACAAATTTTAATGTAGAAAATGAACTTAACAGAATAAAGAAAGAGTGTTGGTTTTGTGGCAGAAGTATTCATACCAATAGAAGTCAGTGTCCAGCAGTGAAAGCAACCTGTATGAAATGCAAAAAAATTGGACATTTTGCTCGATGTTGTCGGGGAAAACAAGTTGATTCAAAAAATAAGATGTCTCATAGTGAAGTTAGGGTATGTACTATTACCAGTAAATATTCAGCAGACATTAAGGTGTATCGAAATAAGGAATATAAGTGTACATTAAAATTTTTGATTGATACAGGAGCAGATATAGTTGCTGTTCCAGAGCAAAATGTCAGTAAAACAAATTCTTTACTTCCATGTCAAGTCAATATAAAAGGTCCTGATGATGCAAAGTTAACAGTACTAGGGGTATTGGTAGCTACACTGAAGTATGAGGACCGGGAGTATACAGGTGATATTTATGTAGTTCGAAACTTAAAATTACCAATCTTAGGTGTACCTGCTATTGAAAGTATGGATATAATAAAAATACTAGGAGTCAATAATATATCATGTTTACAAAAAAGCAAAATTAATGTAGAGAAAGAATATCCAAAAATTTTTGAAGAACTAGGAGTATTTAAGAGAAAGTTTAATATTCAATTGTGTGACAAAACTCAAGGTTACATACAGTATACACCAAGAGTTGTTCCTATTCCTTTATTAGATAAGATCAAGGTAGAATTAGATAGGTTATGTAAACTAGGCGTAATGGTTAAAGTTGAAGAACCAACTCAATATGTTTCACCTATGGTTGTAGTTCCTAAAGAAAATGATAATGTTAGAATATGTGGGGATTACACTGTGTTAAATAAAAATATTTTAAGGCCAGTTTTTCCAATTCCAAAAGTGGAGGTTACGTTAGCTCGACTAAAGAATTCAAAATACTTTTCAAAAATAGATGCTACATCAGGTTTTCATCAAATTTGTTTAACAGAGGAATCTGCACCCCTCACAACCATTATTACACCTTTTGGACGTTTTATGTACAAACGGCTACCATTCGGTTTAAATTGTGCACCTGAATATTTTTCAATGAAATTTTCAGAACTCTTTCATGATCTGGATGGAGTAATCCTCCATGTCGATGACATTTTGATACATGCAGATAGTTTAGAAAGGCACGATCAAATATTAAAGCAAGTTTTAGACAGACTATATGAGGAAGGTATTACAATCAATAAGAAAAAATGTGTGTTTGGGGTGACAGAAATTAAATATTTGGGGCATGTTATTAATGAGCAAGGTATTCGTCCAGATCAAGAAAGAATTCAGGCCATTGCAGATTTTGAAACTCCAAAAAATAAGAAACAAGTTATGCAATTTTTAGGAATGGTAAATTTTGTAAGTAGATTTATTAACAATAAAACTGAAATATTACAACCATTATATTGCTTGTTAAAAAATGATACAGAATTTATATGGGGCAAAGAACAACAAATAGCTTTTGATAAAACTAAAGAAATATTGCAATCTAGTCCTATATTGGCACATTATGATCCAAATAAAAAGGTTATTTTGGCTGCTGATAGTAGCTCCTATGGGTTGGGTGCTACATTAATGCAAGACTCAGATAAGGGTAGACAAATAATTGCTTATGCCAGCAGGACACTTACACCAACAGAAAAGAGATATTCACAAATAGAAAAGGAATGTTTAGCATTAACCTGGGCTATGGAAAGATTTAAAGATTATGTATATGGAATTAAAGTATACTTGGAAACAGACCATAAACCTCTAATACAGATATTGCAAACCAAACACATAGATGAATTAACTCCCAGATTGATGTCATTCAGAATAAGGTTAACTCGGTTCAATTATGAAGTCAACTATGTTCCCGGAAAAAAATTAACATTACCAGATGCACTTTCTCGTAATCCAGTGATGACAATAGGAGTAAGACAGGATGCAGATATAAATTTTGATGAATGTTTTGTTAATACCATTCTTAAAAGTATTCCTTTACATGATAGAATTTTAGAAAATATAAAAAATGAACAGGAAAAGTCAGTAATCATTAAATTATTAAAAGAATATACTCAAGAAGGTTGGCCTAGATTATCAAAAATTCCAGATAAAATAAAAGCATTTCATC